GTGGCAGGCACAGCACTTTGTGAACCTCCATGCTTCTCCGAACCTCGACGGGGAAGCTCCGCGGAACGACGGTTGCGAGACGGTCTCGGGTCATGGTCGGATCATGCTCGGAATCGTCCCTCCATTGTGATTAGAGGTTTCAGTTGTTTCTTGAAGTGCAGATTTCGTGGCAGGCACAGCGCTTTGTGAACCTTCAGGTGCAGATTTCGTGGCAGGCGCAGCACCTCGTGAACCTCCATGTGCAGATTTCGTGGCAGGTGCAGCACTTTGTGAACCTCCATGTGCAGATTTCGTGGCAGGCGCAGCACTTTGTGAACCTCCATGTGCAGATTTCGTGGCAGGCACAGCGCTGTGTGAACCTCCATGCGCAGATTTCGTGGCAGGCGCAGCACTTTGTGTACCTCCATGTGCAGATTTCGTGGCAGGCGCAGCACTTTGTGAACCTCCATGCGCAGATTTCGTGGCAGGCACAGCAAGTTGAAATGTGAACCGCCATGTGCAAATTTCGTGCCAGGCACAGCACTTTGTGAACCTCCATGTGCAGATTTCGTGGCAGGCACAGCACTTTGTGAACCTCCATGTGCAGATTTCGTGGCAGGCACAGCATCTGTGGACTGGAAGATGAGCACTGGCGACTTTGTAGTACTACTTTAGTACGCGGAGCAATCTGTGGAGCTGGAAGCTGAGAACTGGCGACTTTGTAGTGCAACTTTAGTACGCGGAGTATCTGGGGAGCTGGAAGCTGAGAACTGGCGACTTTGTACGCGGAGCAAGCCGTGGAGCTGGAAGCTGAGAACTGGCGACTTTGTAGTACAACTTTAGTACGCGGAGCAATCTGGGGAGCTGGAAGCTGAGAACTGGCGACTTTGTAGTACAACTTAGTACGCGGCTGAGTCATCTCTACTCTAATTTTGCAAAAGTGCATGAACAACGTTTTTTCCTGCGAGACAGCTGACGGTGGCTGTTTCGCTTTCGCTCCATTGGTCGGTTCCAACTTGTTTTGTCAAAGAACACCGCAGCGCGGCGAATCAGCCTGCCACATGCCCATTTCCTATAGGCTTAATTCTCTTGGAAACTGCCGCCGCCGGCTTGCCCGGGAACTACTTGGATACGGCATTTTTTTCCTATGGGCCTTCTGCTCAGGCTAGCCGAGTGAGCAACACCGAGCTGAAGATTTCTGACTTTGGCCTGGCAAAGATGTCCAAGGACTGCTGTGCTTGCAGATGCTTGCAGCAAGCTCTCAGGGTGTGGTTTCTCTCTGGAAAACCGAGATGCCGGCACGGCAGACATGGGTTTTGCAACTGCAGTTCTATGACATGAGGACTATCCTCGGCGGCTACCCCGCTCTCACTCAATTTGTGGATCAGACTTCTACTTAGCGCCTGAGGTCATCAAGCAGGAGGAGCACTCGCTGGGGCCGTGGAGAAAGAAATGTCATACTTGGGAGAGGCTCTTGTAGTGCTTTGTTTGCGCCATTCGCAGGAGTATGGGCGAGAGATTGATATGTGGGCGCTGGGTGCAGGAAACTGAGAGCCCAGGCTAAGGCTAAGAAGGACTGCTGTGTTCAAGCCTTCCTCATTTTCATGATCAATGATTGGATGTAATTGCAAGTACCTGTGAGATCAGATCTGTATGGGTGGAAGCGATATTGCATTGCTGCTTTTGATTCACCAAGGTCATTACCTTTGTTGTGCTCAGTGGAGCCTTGCCTTTCTATCACCAAGTTCTCCACAAGCTGTGCCCTTCTCAAACTGCTTTGGGACAACACGCCAACTGACATGAAGTTGCTTCGTGTGGAAAGTGACAGGTATCGCCAAATCGTTGAACGTGATTTGAGCTTTCCAGATCAGGCCGGCAAGAATTGCACAGAAATTGACGGTTTCAGCACCTTATTTTCCTTGAATCACTCCGTTTCTGAAGATGCGTGACAGTGCAACTCAGCGCTTTCGCACTTCCAAGGCTTGGAAGAACGTATCGAAGGGTGCAATGGATTTCATCCTCCGTTTGCTTCAGGCTGAAGAAACCGGGCGAGTCATTCACTGCGGGAGTCTTTAACAACAAGCTTGCGGCCGCTTGTGCTTCTCAAACCCTCAGGTGCGGCCTGGTGACCGGCTCACTGCAGACCAAGCCCTCAGCCACCCATGGCTGCGAAATGGCACTAGTGCGTGCGGGCACCTAGCATGCTCAGAGTTGACAACTGTTGTAGTCATTGCGAGAGCTGCCTGGCCTTGACCTTAGCAAGATTGTAACTGTTTTCTACGCTTTTGAACGGTTTGCTGGTTTGTAGTATGATTTGGGCACATTTGTGAGGCTTGCAAAGTGCTAGAAACAACCGTTTGATTTCTTTAGCCTGCACTCCAATCTTCAGCTGTCGCTCGCTGCCCTCGGTGTTGTTTTCTTGCTCCAAGGCCAAGCTTCAACAGCTTCACAAGCGTGAGCAGCCAAGTTCGGAGCAGTCAGTCAAGTTGAGTGCACAACATTGGATGATGTGTCGAAGACATTGGGAACTTGCTGTAGTTCGGCTCTGACTCTTGAGTGCAAAGCCCGCAGGATCCATGATTAAGCTCTGCGTCCAACGGTGGCGGGACAACAAAGCACCCACCAGTCAATTCTCTTCTTTTCCTTGCAGTGCATCGGGGTTCCAGCGTTTTGACCCATAGACAGAATGTTACAACGTGAACTGGTAACAAGAGGCTACTAGGGGCTCCTGGCCTTACTACTAGGAGCAAGAAGCTACTGGGGGCTCCTGGCATCGCTACTAGGAGCAAGGACGCTACAGGGGCTGTAGGTCCAGCGGTTCTAGCGCTTCGTGGCGAAGTGCCTGGCCTATTGCCAGCCGAGGCGCATAGTGGCGAAGCTATGGCGCCCAACTATTACAGTGCCTATGGAGGCTATGGTGGCATGCCCCGGCCAATGCCACTTGTCAAGATGGCGCAGTGTCCATCATGTAGGCCACTTCAATAGGGCCAATAGTGGGCCAAGAGGTTAGTTAGTTTCTTTAAAATTCTAGAACCAAATCATTAGTGCGAGCGTGAGCTATACTGCATCCTGTAGCTAGTAGCTGCCTAGTAGCTTACCTCTCCCTTACTTATATAACTAAGTCGGTGCCTTCTTAATTAAGTAGGAGGTTGGCCAAGAGAAAAGGTCTTAGTTTGATTCTTGCCACCTTGCAAAGGTCGCACCCCTTGGAGCATGCACACAAGGCCTGTTGCCAGAGCAGAGTTTGCCCAACATGACAACGGTAAAGTCGAATGCTCTTTATCATAATGAGAATGCCTTAGTTTGATGGCTATGGCTTAGCCACATGATTTGTAGAATGATTCGCCGCGGCCTTTGCCTTTGCACGGATTATCCACAAAGAATCATCAATGACCATCTAATTACTGTGTTTGTCCTGGATAAATGAGGTGTAAACACCTATTTGCACATTCACCCTTTGAAGGTGTGAGGCTTGCTGCTCTGTGCCAAGGCCTCACAGAGGGCAACACACAAGGGGATGCAGATTGAATGTGCAGGGGCAGATAGAAATCGCGGCTACTTGTTGTCAGAGGGTAACTCCTGACTGTTGCAGGCTGTACACGGCATGAAGGAGATACAGTAGACCCTACTGACAGTGCATGTTAATTTGCTCATATAGAGCCTTGTGTTGACCATAATTCAACTCTTGCCAGAACATGTTCGGCAAGGTCCAGGCCTCCACCCGAGCCAAAACAAGTCCAGAACAAGACTGCTGGTATCATTAAGCGAGGAAGAACCTGGACCTTGAGCTCAAGCAATTGATATACTGGGAAGAGGAAGGACAGAAGCTCGCCTTGCTCTCCAGCTGTTGACATAGCATTGCCTGCGATTCAATCCATAGAAGTGGAGGCGAATCAATGCAGAAAGCAAACTCATGTCGAGCCAAAGGTGCAAGACATGGGCCGCAACAACAAACAATTGTCGATATGTGACTTTGACATGAATGTGTGGAGAACATCACAACAGTGCTTTTGTTTGCACAATTGGCCCGTTCCCGAACACGAGCAAGCTCACGTCACTCTGCCAGCTCATTGCTTCTGATCAGAAAGGGGAAGCTGCAGATATATGCGGAAGAGTTGTAGGTAAACTTAACTATATTATTCTATATTAGTGGTGGCCTCCAACCTACTAGTGATGGCCTCCAACCTACTAGCGGAGGTCCTAGGTTTGGGCGCAGTATGTATTGTTTGGAATCTCCTTTGTAGTAGAACGATTGTGATCAGCACATGGCAGCTTGCCCCGCGGCATATGTGTCCAAGCTGGAAGAGGGCCGGCAGGGTCTTTTGGGCACTCCAGGCAAACTAGGCGGCAGCCTTTCAACGATGCTTTTGAAATAGAGACTTGCTTCGTCCTATCAAGCAATGTGGAGAGTGATGCTATTCTTTTTCCCACTTGGGGTTGCAGGCATGGCTGGGAGGATGCAGGGACATGCTGGGCTGCCGAGCAAGGCAGAGCTTGATTATGACTTGAACTTTGACTCTGCAAGCATCCACAGTTCAATGTTTCACAAGGAATGGACGCCCCATGATTTTGCCGCAATTATGTTCTTTTGATTTCTTTTGTGTGTTGTACTGGGCAGTTTCGGCTGATATTTGCCGATCCTGCAATCAGTCCGGAGCTAAATTGCGCATCCGCTGCAGTATCAGATGAATGATTGCAGAAGCCCTATTATGCCACGATGAACAAGGCGGTGGATCCATCATGCAAATGATGGAGCTTCCCACTCCTCTGACCATGGCAAAGGTGCTCTATGCAATTTCATGCATTTAGTTTCTGACGGACGCGTGCTTTTGCTTTGCAGGTTGCTGCAACGCTTGAGAGCCACCCTGTCTTTCAATTTCAGGCCTTGCCTGCTTAGCATGTTTGGCCTCGCTTCGGCATGTTGTTGCAGGACTTGTGCGACCAGCGTGGGGTGAAAGCTGCGGATGCTGGTATTCTTCTACAAGGCTATTTGTTCAGCAACTGCTGAAGTGAGATGAGGGCAGTTGAAATGAATTTTGCATCTCTCTGTCGGATCATTTCATCATGTATTTTGATGTATTTTGCACAACGGGATTCAACGGAATGTACTGAATGCAACAACGGACAGGCCTGGACGGCCCTCGAAGAAGTCCACTCCATAGCGACAAAGACATTGCCGCGACCTTTTGTTCTTTGAAACGACGGCATTTGGAAGCACTGAATGCACGGGAATGAAAGCATAACCAAGGATAGTTTCTTGCACAACTTGCAAACGAGCAGGATCCCGGTTATCGAGGCCATTATCAAGAACGGCCAACGCTTTTTCAAGCTTGTAATGATTTGTAAAGGAACCAAACGAGTGTACTGTAATCAATAATGGTTTCAACTCCGTTTAATATATATATATATATATGGGGTAAGCCATGGGGGCGCTTTTTTGAGTTTGCAGCACAAGCAGAAGATAAGGCTGTGATCGGTGTGGCGGGTCTAGTCTATGAGCTTTGGGCAGGCGCAGCTGCCATACGAAAGCATGCTGCAAGCTGCGTCGGAGCTGCATGCGAGCGCTCCAAGCAGGAGGCTCCTTTTGTTTTGCTCAACTGTGATGCACTTATCCTCCTTGTTTCCTTGCTGCTCATTTGTTTCCGCTTATTGTTTAGCTTGTTCCTTTATAGAACATCTTGAAAGACCTGTTTGTTTTCTTTTATATTTTTCTTTGAACCTTTCTTCCTTGCTCGCATTTGCATCAATTCCATTTCTTCAATAATTTGCGATTTTATGCAGTTTCGGGACAATCCTATCGTTGTTCGCTCATGTCTCACCTCGCACAGCTGGCTCTCTCTCAATTCTTTTTTTGTGCTGAAACATTCAGCCGCATAGCCTAGCGATGTACAATGACCATCTGCACGGGTGATGTCGGTCCCCCCTCAATATGGTCACAGCAGGCTTCAAACCAATGCCGACCTCAGAGTTTGTTTGCATCCCTTTCATGAGACAGGTCCATCATGGGATGTCAAGACAGTATTTACTGGTAGCAGCTAGCACAGCTATCAGTTGAGTCAAAGCGGACCTTGTTCATTTTTGTTCATTTTTCGGATTGTGCTTTTAATAGCATGCGATTATGCGAAGTGAAACAGCAGACGGCAGGCAAACAAATCCCATGGCCTTGCGCCTCCCCTGCAATCGTAAGGAAGCCCGCAGTACTACAAAGCATAGCAAGTAGATTCGTAGATGTTTGTAGCATCACGTGTGCCATTTGTCTTTGGTCTCATTCTAAGCATGATGTGGTTGTGCAATACAAGATGAAATAAGTATGTTTTTTGCGTTTTTTTGTTCACTGCATCATGCAACACCTGCACTCAAGTTACTAAAGGAGGGCATGTTGCGGCTTTTCAACAATTTTGAAACAAACGTTTCGAAGACGAGGCATCATTGCGCACGGCCACAATCTACAGATGCAGCTTACTTTGACAATGTGATCCTAGTTTCAGGCATCGTGGTCGCGACCCTCGTGATCAGATCGAGGAGCTTGAAGATGCTAATGACAAGCTGACCCGGGTCCGAGATCTGAGCGCCCTTGAATTGTGTTCTTTCAGGTGATTTTTTGCTTCTTTGCAACAGATGCGTTGGTCGCTCTATGACATTGTGAGGCCACAGACCGGGTTGAACGGAGATTAGCTGAACTGGAGCTCAGTGCGTGATGAGTTATCAAACTTTCTACGTGTCAGTGAGTAAACTCAGCTGTTACCTGTTTTGAAAGGAGCACCAGCTAGCGACCACAGATGAAAGGACCGAGCGGGCGGGCTCCTTAGGCAGATGGCTTGGGCAAAGCAAGCAATAAGCTCCTAGTAGCGTCCTTGTTCCTAGTAGTAAGGCCAGGAGCCCCTAGTAGCGTCCTTGCTCCTAGTAGCGATGCCAGGAGGCTTCTTGTTCCTAGTTGCAATCCTTGGACCTTGCTGTTGTACAGTCTGTGGGCATCGCTCGGCGAGAGATGATGACCTTCCTGGTCAGGGTCTCAGCTGGCTGTCTATGTTCCTTGTCCAGAAGCGCACACCTGCCCCTTTCATTTTGCAAATCGATCCCAGGAGCAGTCAGTGCTGGAAACAAATCAGAGGATTGCTGTTCGGATCTTGGATAGCTGTTTTGGACACGAAGTGTGAGACGAGCCGGATGTGAGGCATTGAAGGAGGACGACGCTGGCATCCTCAAGGAACTTGATATTGTCAGGCCATACATTCAAGATCATTCAAGTAAATTGTGCGCGTAAGTGCCAAGGCCTTAAGGGTGCAATGTATGGTTCACTTTGAAACTGTCCAGGCAACATAGCGCATCAGTACAGCAGAACGACCTAAAGCATCACAAGGACCTTTAAGGGCGGGGCGGGCAGGGCCAGGGGACCAAACCTCGACGAGTGAATCCACTTTGCATACACCATGTTGAAACTGTCGAATGTGGCCCACCTACCACACATGAATGCCATGACTACAGCCTTAATGCATCCAAGGTCGCTCCAAAACCACAGAAGCCTGGGCATCGGGCATGCCCAAGGAAAACGAATAGATGGCTCGGACTGCTGCATGACAATCCTCAAAAAGCCATTAGTTTTCAACACTTGTCACTGAGTCTACGAGCCTAAGATCCAACATGTCATGACAGGCTTGATCGGATGGACTGCCTTCTATTGGAACTTCAGGAGATTTTGGAGCAACTGGATGCCTTTGCCAGGAGAGTTGATGAGCAGCCGGAATCTTCAAACACTGGATAAGTGAGATCTTACAAAGGGATACAGTTGCAGCATGACAATACCTTACTAATGAATACCCTTTCACTTGTTTTACTACTACGAACATCTCCTCTACTACTGCTGCCACTGCTAACAACGACGACGACAGCTCCTACTCCTACTCCTACTCCCACTACCACTACCACTACGACTACTACTAACAATACTAATGCTAATACTAATACTATATAATACTATCTACAACTACTGCTACTACTACTACTGCTGCTGCTGCTGCTACTACTACTGCCACCACTACCGTTTTTCAAGGCATGTGTTATTTTTGAAGGTCTTCGTCCCAACTACTCCTTTCTTCCTGATAAAGTGTCCACCTTCCTTTGATCCAAACTCTTAGGTTCGACGAGGCGAATACATGTTTGGACCAGCTCAAAGAAGAAGATGCTCGCCTCGACGCAGAGGATCGCCTGTGTTCCCCACAAAGTCTGACCTTGACGTGTCAGATGGTCAGCTTTGCCATGCTTTGCCCTGTAAGCACATTGGAAGCCAGTTCAAGCGCATGATATCGGTTTGTCGTGTTTAATAGTGTTCATGTCGTCTATGAATCGTATCTAGATCTATAGCGCCTATAGACTAGAACTATAACTATATATATAGACGATATAGCCTACAGCTACAACTGGACATGTGCTTTGAGTATGTTTGAGTCGCTTTTGGGGGAAGTTTGCCTTATCGCTGTTGAGGCCCTTGCAACCAAGTCAGATCATGGTGCTCAGCTGGAAGGGCAGCTCGAGGAGCTGCGACGCCTGGAGGAGGAGAAGGCTGACGTCGAGACAGCAAACATGGAACACCATGAAAACATTAGTAGGAAGAACTCAGTATTAGCAGGAGCTTATGAAGCTCGCTTTTCCAATCGCATGAGTTCCAGTTCCAACCAAAGCTTGGACGAATTTGTAAGAATCACACTAATTCACAGGTGAGCGTCTCTACTTGGCAGTCGGAGGGCGATGCCATGCTGGGCAGCATCACGAAGGCTTGGGGCAAGAGACAGACAAGCAAGCCCTGTCGCAGCTCTTCCTGACAGTCTAAGTATTGAATAAATTAGTGTGTACAGATATGCTGATATGCACGGTCCTGAGACATGGGAACCCAGAATAAAACATCACACTGCACATTGCTTGGCTTTGTACCAAGAAATAGATGGGTAGATGTTGTGCAAACTTTGTAAATTGAGCCACATTAAAGCTTCAGTGCGTGATTAGTGCGGGTGGCGTGGGAGATCATGGATCCGGATTGTTGGAAGTTGGCGGTGTAGATGGTGTAGTGGCGAAACGTGGCATGGGATAATGCACTTTCGACTCGCTTGAGGGCAAGCTAAGAACGTTGCAGGTTTTACCACGAAGATGTCTTCGCGAAGAGAAGCTAAAGACCATCACCCTCAGAAGACACACATACACACACTCCATTAACATGAAATCATCCCGCAGCACTAGGGGGTGTTATGGGTGTCTCTGGATATCGCAAATGCGCGAAGCGACAGCTTGAGTATTCTACTAATGTAAACAACAATGTCTGCGGAACGGTGTGCATTCTAGATCCAGACTGGATGCTCTGGTTTGGTCCTCTGGTGTAGATGATGCTCGCCCGTCTAGTAAGCGATATCATCAAACTCAAGAAGACGTCAACGGGGAAGGTCACACATTGCCTCGTATCATCTCCTATCTCTTGTTCCCAGCTTTGTTGTGCGATCGAGTCAGAGTGCTGCACAAATCTTCCAAAATCATCTAAACAATAGAGGTGTGTCCAGAATGCATTAGATGGACAAGTGCCACAAGATCGCATTTTTGGCAGTTGGAAGGCTGTAAACACTCAAGACATGCATTCATCCAGCATCTCTTCGCTCGTGAGCGCCGTTCACCAAGGGGCCCTGTTTTTGGCATGAATTCAATTCTTGCTTTCCAGGATGTTGAACGGCTCAAGCAAGACTTGACCCAGGCCCCATTTTCATGGAGATATGTTGTTGTTTGTGGCTTTTCCAAGAAGCACATGAGCATACATGAGCCATGAGCAAAACTTGCCTGACACTCTGCAAAGCTGCAGACTTTGGTGGTCGATTGGTGGCCCACTCTTCCCCGCTTCAGGAGATTTCAGACCTGAACAGTCGATTTAAGGGTGTCCGGCAGCCCAACTACGTCTGTTGTCCAACGCATGTTGTGAACTGATCGGACTAGTGACTAGTAATTGTCAATGTTTTGTTTTTTGGCGGGGTGTGCATTGGGACAACTAAGGAGTGTGACTCCACAGCGGACAGGTTTCGATCAGCGACTGCCTCAATTAATTCACGGCTACGAATGAAAAGCAAGCACATGCTGGGGACAAACAAGCGTCAATCCTCGGACGTTGTTGGGACACTGCGCGCTCCCTGTGCAGGAGGTATCCGAACGTCAGGCCAACGATCAGGAACTCAACAGGCCTGGAAGTGCCCCTGTCAATTTGCTTTTTCACGCCGCCTGTTGCGCAGGATATTGTCGGAAACTACACAGCGCCTCGATGCTCAGTTGCGCAAGCTGGAAGAAGAGACCCAGGCGGTGTACTTGCAATTGCTTGCATAGTCTGAGCTGTTTTCTAAAAGAATGACAGGTGAATACACGTGGTTTGACCGATGCAAGCTCACGGCTGCCACTGAGCTTTTTCATGTTCCTTCCTCGTAGGCTAGCTTCAGAGCAGGAAGTGATGCCTTGCAGGTCCCGCGCATCGGAGATTCTTTTGGATAACTTTGTTCCTCTTTGATGCAACCATGTACAGTCATATATGAATGTACATGATAATATAATGTATACCATTATCTATATCTATATCTATACATACAAATAGAGAGGGCGAGAGAGAGAGAGAGAGAGAGTTGCTCGTGCCTGCCAGGATACAAACCTCAAGCTGCAGGAGTCCATCGATACTCAGGCAGAATGTACAGGATGGCGTAGCGCATGAGTAGCATTGAGTAGCATTTGCATAGCAAATGCATAGCGCATGTGTCACCTGGCAGACTTTTTCGTGTTGTCTTTGCCGAAGCTCTGCCGGAGCTCTTCGCTGTGAGGTCTCAGAGCTTTCCAACCAGACGGACAAGCACTTTGACCAACTCGAGCACACTGTCGATCATAAGGACTGTGCCAGCGCCTAGTGCCATGTTGAGAAGACAAAAACAACCACAGAAAAGCATGAAAATACACCAACAGCTTTTTTGAGTTGTTTTGAGTGGACCACTGACCAATCGATTCATGTTCCAGTCCGAAGGGGATGATTCCGAACGCCGACAGGAAGTTCGATATTTGTGAAGTGAGTTGTGGGGCTGGAAGAAATGGCGGACCAAACGGCGGACCAAATGGGTTAAACGGCGGACCAAATGGTCGGTGACTGGTCAGAGCTGGATGGAAACCCGCACAGATGGTGGATGGTGGGAGGATGGGGACGGGAAGGTATATAATATCAACTGGCATCCAGCTGACAACAGCCTAGGGTTGGATGGGATGGTGTGGGATTGTGGGATTAGATTCAGGGTAGTGGTGGCGTGGAGTGTAATGGATGATTGCGGAAGCGTTTGCTATTGTTTTTGTGAGTAGATGAAGGTAGCGGCTCCGTTTCGGGAACATTACGTGTTGAACTTTCAGCCGGGGAATCTGTATGTGCGAGGTCCTTTTTTGCCGTTTGCATGCAAGATATTCCGGTTGGAATCAATAGATGTAAATAATGTATTCGCTTTTGTGCTGGCCTTCTCAGGTTTTTCCAGTTTTGCTTTGCAAATGACGTAGGACGAGAAACTTCACAAGAGAGTGGACGAGCTGACGGGCAAATGTGAAGCTACATTTCAGAGTCGGTGGCACAGCTTCTAGAGAAACGTACACGACTTGATTTGAAGCCGTTCAAGGTTTAAGCACATACGCAATCTGTCACGTAGTGGTGATGTATTTTGATAACTAGAAATAGGGAATCAACAGAGTTGATGAACGGTTGAGTCCGTCGTGCCATTTTGGCTGCAAGCCACGTAAGGTCCCCCCCGCACTGATTTGAACAGCCATGGAGCTGGGCGACGTGGACCCCCGAGAAGGGGGTATGGGTGCGGGGGGGCCCATCGTGGTCGATTCCGAGGATGAGGGCCTCCAGGTGAGCTCAGAGGTGGGGAACATCCACGAGATGGCAGCCCGACTACGTGAACTACACGAAATGCGAGCAGAAGATCCTCAAAATGAAGGGCTGAAGTCAGGATCACCCACCGAGGTCATGGATGTGGACTCCAACAGTGAACCGGAGATCCAAGTGAGTCCCTGGGAGGCCCTCAGGCAATTGGTGGCTGGGATGAAGCAGGAGAAGAAGAAAGAATCTACACCGGCTGAGAATCAGCTGGAAAGTGATGCACATGGTATGGGGCTGACGGAGGTGCAGAAGCTCAAGTTCAAGGTGCCCAAAGAACTGAAGATGCCTTGGGAGACTGGGTTCGCAGGTTTGGTACTGGGCAGAAAGCAGGACGTGGAAACAGGCTTCCTGAATGAAAGTACACGCCAACCCCATGCCATCCAAGCAGTCCCGGAAGTGAAGGTGGAGGACGAGGCCATGGACGTGGGGACCAAGGTCAACCCCAGCTTCAAGATTGAGACCAAGTCGAGGATGCCATGGTCTTGAGCAGTTGAGACCGAGAGGCAGAAGGTGATGGAGGGCTGGAAGATTGTCATCGACGAAGCCCGGAAAGCATGCAAAGCCGCATCGATGCTGGACCAGTCAGGTGAATCCGTGCTGGAGGACATCTTTGCCAAGAAGAAGAATGGCACGCTGCAGGTGAGACTGAGTGCAATGATGTTGTACATCAGGTGGGCACGATCCAAGGGATGGGATGCTTTCCCCATCAGTGATGACCAGGTGTACCAGTACGTTGATCAGCTGCGGAAAGACGGGGCACCTGCAACAAGAGCAAACAGCTTTCGAAGCGCCTTGGCCTTCTGCAAAGGGACCATCCAGTTGGAGGGTGTCGATGAAGTCTTGCAGAGTGGAAGAGTGACTGGCTCGGCACACCGCAGCTACCTCACGAAGAGAATCCTTCGCCAGAGAGATGCTCTGACAGTTGTACAGGTGTCGACTCTCGAAGTGATTGTAGCCGAGGCGAGTTTTCCACTGCAAGACAGAGTCTTTGCAGGGCACTGCCTTCTGTGTATATATGCACGACTGAGGTTCGGTGATAGCCAAGGCATCGATTCGGAGCCGAGAGTCGATGGTGGGTACTTGGAAGGCGGCGCCAGTATCCACAAGACGGACTCCCTAGTGGGAAGAGCAAGAAGGGTCCTGCCAGTGGTGGCCCCATGTGGGCTGCTGAAGTTGAGGCACATGTCTGGCCTCAGAGCTCTTCCAGGACGACCCTTCTTGCTGGTGCCAGTGCCAGGTGGTGGGTGGAGTCAGGCGAAGTTGACAACGCCAGAAGCATCGACCTGGCTGTGCGAGATGTTGCAGAAGTACACGATACACCCCCAGGAGTTGGGGGATGTAGGTGCTCACTCCATGAAAGCAACAGCGCTGTCGTGGTTGGCAAAAGCTATGGCTATGGTTTCAGAGAAGTTGAGAAGGTTGATGGGGTACCATGTGAAGCCCAAGGACAAGAGTGTGGTGATCTACAGCCGTGATGCCTTGGCGGAAGGACTGGACACCTTGACCAATGTGATCACTGAGATCAGGGAAGGTCGGTTCAAACCGGATGCTCCTCGCAATCAGCGCTGGGTGAAGAGGCTGGTGGTAACCTTTGGGATGTCCCAGAGGCAGAATCTGATGCTGATGAGGCTACAGGTGATTGGGAGATGATGGAAGTGAGTTCGCCTGGGAAGCCAACTCATCGCCTGGTCGAGACCACTGAGATGTCTAGTGAGACCAGCGAGGAGGAGCAGGAAGACCAGGAGAGCGAAGATGAACGCCGCCACGAGGCCGGTGACAGCAAAGTTAGGACCTCCAAAGAAAGCGCTGCCGATTTGTATAGGCATGGCCTGACAGGTACTGTGCACAGCGGAAGTGTCATCCCAGGTAAGCTGGCGTGTGGTAGGGCCATCGCAGCGGTGATGTTTAAGCTCGATCACGAAGTCCACGCTTGGGGTAGCAAGTGTAAAGTGTGCGACGGCTACACCAGGTGAAGTGCCTGGAGTACGCGCGAGAAAAAGTTTGCAGTCTGTGAGGGATGTGTGGGGTAGGTGGTGTAGGTGAATGAGTGAAAGACAAGTCAAGTGAAGTTGTGAGCACTGGAGGGAGTTGTTCCCCAAGTGCACTGAGCCTGTAACCGGGTAGCCAGGCAAGCGGCAGGGTGGTCCTGTAGTGAAGATGCCGAGAGGACTGTGGGCGAGCGCGCGGTGCGAAGTGATGTAAGTCATGTAGAAAGAGGTAGGTTAGTGCATTGAGGTGATGTTGAAGGTAAGTAGTGAGGAAGAGACGGCATGCGTAGACTGTGGATGCGCAGTGTTAAGTCGAATGTGGATAGAAGTTGGGCTCAAGTGAAGGTCGGTGGGCTGCCAAGCGAGATCATGGCAACGCTGACCGAATCCCAAGCAGTGTTTGAGGCCAAACTCAAGGATGTGGGGTTGGAGGCCTACAAAGATGAGATGGCTAGGCGGGGGTGGGTCACTATGAGCGCATTCGCCTTTGCAAGTAGCTGGTCACCACATTCGGGGGACGACCAAGCGTTCATCCAACAAGTGGCTCAGCCTTTGCTGGGAGCCAGGGATCATGCTGACCTCCCAAAGTTGCGCAAATTGTACCATGAAGCCTACACCATCGTGGCGGCTGAGCTCAGGAGTCGCCTGGAAGGGACGCAGGAGGCAGACGACGGGACAAAGACCCGAAAGTTGCCACCAGTTGAACGCAAGAACAGGTGGGCTCAGCTGAACGCACAGTATGGCCAGTTACAGCTGTCAGACTGATTGGAGCCAGCGCGCCATGTAGTCGACAAGTTCCACTCGATGCGAGTCGATGGTGAGCTCAGGTACTTGGCACCACATGAGATCCCAACACGGGACCAAGAGCTGCGCAATGTGAAGACCGAAGAGCTCATCAAGAGGGACGCATCGGGCCACCTACGAGCGCATGACGAGTCCAAGCTGACACGAGGACGGACTTGAGGTTGCGCCAGGCATACACCAGGAGGGGGCTCGCTATGGAGGTAGCCGATGTGATGAGCTACACAGCGCACGAGCGCCTGATCGACAAGATGTTCCAAGAGTACCAGAGGGAGGCGCCAACGGGGTACCTGGGAGTGACATTGTCTCAGGTGGCGGCAGCTGATCGACGGGCGTGGAAGCTGATGTCAGAAGAGCTGCAGGGCGACTTGGGGAGAGATGGAACCGGGATGCGCCTGGCAGATGGGGCAGTAGACGGGTGATCAACAACCCAGCATTCCTGACGTTGCTGTTGCCACTCCCAGGCAGCAAGGGCTCTTCGGCGAAGGATGAAGCTCCCCAAGGAAGTGATCAGGGCAGTACAGGTGTGGTGGGAGGTGGAGCAAAGAAGACGAAGGCAGGTCCATCACAGCCGGAGACCGAGAAGAGCGCAGCGCCCAAGAAGATGCCAATAAAGATGCCAAAAGAACTATGGGGGCTGTCCCCAATGAAACATGGGAGCGCATCTTCCAGCTGAGTGGCAAAGATGGCAAGTGCTCGAAAGGGCTACATACTTGCGTGAAATGCTGGAAGAATGGCCATGGGGCCATGCAGCGCAATCAGTGAATCAGGGTCCGTCAGGAGCGCTGAAGTGGGCTCCAGTCCCTGTACAGAGACTTTTCAAGATCCCAGGCATGAGCCTGGCAAGCTGAGTGAAAACGTAGCAGGCGTCGTGCCACGCACGTTTGAGTTCTTTGCCGGTTCATGTAAATTAAGTTAGTGTTTGAAGGCGCACGGTTTTGCAGCAGTAGGCATTGATCATAAGAAGTAAGAATAGAGTCGGACCATGTATAGTTTTGGACTTATCAAAACCATCTAGTGCACAGTTCATTGAGTCGAAGATTGACGAGGGCAACGTATTCTTCATCCCAATGGTCCCACCATGTGGCGCAGCGTCGAGGGCGAGGGACAAACCCATACCGGCATGGCTGCGCCGGCAAGGAGTGCCTTCACCACCGCCGTTGAGGAGCTCCGAACACCCCAGCGGACTACCGGGCTTGCAAGGGACTGACTTGACAAGAGTGGAACTAGCAAACGCATGTTATGAGACGGCAGCTCGGGTGTTTCGACGTGGAGCATGTGTTTGTGTTCATTGAAAACCCAAAGAACAGCTACATGTGGATGGTGCCATGCATTGCAGCCTTGTTCCACCTACCGAATGTGTTCTTTTCCACCTTCCAAGCGTGTATGCATGGTGGTGAACGGGACAAGAAGACGTCGTTTCTTCACAACTTACGCAAGTTGGAAGTGATGTGTGATGGCCAGCATTCACACAAAAGTTGGTCTGTGAGCAAGTCCCTGAACGGTAAGTGGCAATATGACACAGCGGGTGAGGCAGAGTACCCACTGGTCCTATGTCAACGCATAGCAGCCATCATCAGCAAGGTTGCGCATGATCGCCAGTTGCCCATTCACCTCGAACCTCGGTCCACACCGTTGGCCCAACAGGCATCCACCGCTTGGCGAGTGGCAGCAGGCAAGCAGCCCAGGGGTACAGCCATGCTCCCCGAAGATGGCCAGTGGTAGAAATCGAGATTTCCGACCCGTCCGAAAAGGCCATCGTGGCTGCTTGGGCTGGTCGTTCAAAGGGCGCGACCAACCTTGCCGGCAGACCGTTTCCGCCAGGTACCCGGATTCTCAATCACTTTCCGTCCAATGAGGGGGATGTGCGCGGGGACGGAAGGCAGATGTCGTCCAAGTCGACCAAGTCAGTGGTTTTCGGCATTCCAATCACCCCAAACGAAGCAGTCAGACGAGCACAGCAACTACAACACCCCCAGACCATGTGATTGACGGCGTGTTTCAGGTCCTGACCAAGGGTACAGAAGAAATGCGCAAAGAAAGAGTATGTAGGTTGAAGTGGATGAAGAAGCGTGTTGAAGAGTTGGAAGGGCAAGAACAAGAACTGCATGCAAACATGGAACCCAAAGTGGCGGAAGTCCTTGCCCCCAAGAAGCTCCTGTTCCTTGCGGAGTTGATCAAACTGGTTGGATATGCAGATGTTCGGCTGGTAGAAGATGCGTGCAGTGGCATGAAGATCACTGGGGAAGGGAGAGTGACCGGTTGTTTCGCCCAGGAGTGCAAACCACCATTGCTCGACAGGGAGGACCTGTGGAGGGGTGCGAAGTCTGCGCAGCAGGAAGTGGCATCGAAGGTGCCAAAACACATGGAAGGGAGGAGATCCACCTTGGCGGGTGAGGAAGTGGAGGTAGCGCAAGAGGTGTGGAAGGCAACCATGAATGAGGTCGAGAAGGGTTGGCTGAAAGGTTCTCTGAGTGCAGAGCAGGTGAATGTGGAGGTGGGGCCGTTGTGGACCTGTAGCAGGAGGTTCGGTATAGTGCAAGGTGAGAAAGTGAGGAACATCGATGACCTCAGTGAATTCGCCGTCAACCAGTCCTATGGCCCAGGAGAGAAGCTAGATCTTGGTGGGGTCGACGAGGTTGTCTCGTTGGCAGCATCGTGGATGACGACGTTTGGTATAGTGCGCCGGGGATGGTACAGGTGGAACTCTCCTCGGGTATGAAGTTGACAGGCAAGAAACATCCACAGTTTGAAGGTAAGGAGTTGAAACTCAATGCAGTGGGCGGTGGCTGGCACCCCTGATGGAGCCGGCGAAGCATAGAGCACTCACGCACCGAGGAGCTAGGAACATCACCCCAGAGATCAGGCAAGCGTTGAAGTGGCAGCCAGTTTACTGCGAACAGCACCTCCCCGGAGACTTGATGCTGTGAACCAGGAGCCACCATGTTTAGTGTTCACGGATGGAGCATATGAAGACGGCGCAGCAACATGTGGTGCAGTGATGTTCTCCCCAAGGTTGAAGAAACCCCTGGCCTTTGGTTTTGAGGTTCCCGACACGGTGGTTGCAGAGTGGCACGGATTCGGGCACGAGCATGTCATAGCCCAGGCTGAGATGATGCCTATCGTGATCGTGAAGCAGCGATTCGCACAGCTGTTGAGGGGGGCAAGGGTACTGTACTTCATAGACAATGAAGGGGGCAAAGAAGCGTTAGTGGCAGGAGTGACAAAATCAGAAGGGTGTAGAAAGATGCTGGTTGAAGCAATGATACAAGATGCCAACAACAATAGTCTCAAATCCCATCACCAAGTAATGTGGCAAAAAACCCTTGGAGGTTGAGGTGGGACATCCTCGATGAGATGTTGGACTATGTCAGGGTGACGGCCGAGTTTGACTACACTAGTAGTCTGAAAGGTATAAGTCCAGGTCCGATAAAATAATGTACAGACGAATGTGTCTTCAAGTAAGTTGGTTTTTCAATCGTTTTTCCTGCACAGGCAGCATAGCTGCACCGCACACGTCCCCAATGTGAAAGAAAAATAAGAGCCCTTGTGCGGACGAGACTTTCGTGGTGTTGAAACAAGAACATTTATTCTATATACGCTAACAGGCTCTTTTTTGGAACCTAATGTTATCTTGGAAACCATGTTTTCAACTTATTTTGAGCCGCGAGGATCGATACCTAGAATCAACACACATAGAACCTGTTTGCTTTTTGAAATGCATTGTTGTTGCAGAAGGATTGCAGGGCCTTGAAACTGAGTCAGGGTCGGAGATCATACCGCCTTTGCATGCATGTTTGAGCCAGAAGTCTTGCATCCAAAAGCGCCGACGACAAGCCCTTTTGTATGTACATATATATTTATATATACATATGTATTTTACATGTGTTTTTTCCAACTAAAGGTTCAACGTTCATTAGTTGCTTCTATGTCATACGTGGGTTGGAAGCGTGCAGTTTTTGATTTTGGGCAATATTGGGGCCTCTATTTATAAAGGCATATGTCCGTCAGTTTAAACGTGTTTAAATCTTGATGCAATAAAGTGCTGGAAGGTAAGGGTAGCTGGTAACGGTCTATGTAACAGGATGTCAGTGACAGGAGACGGCTCAAATTGGAAGTGTTCACCTGAGGGCCGTCCGTTATTGCCAGTGAAGGAATTTCGATCAACTGTTAAAGCAAACATGTCGCGAAAGGGAAACTGCAGTCCGCGAAAGGCCGGCGATAGGACAGCGAAAGACATGTGCCAACCTAGACTTACATACAATGTGCATAATACATGACACATCCTTTTTCCGAACAGAAACACGGATTTTCGCGAAAGGGCTGCGAAAGGCTGGCGGTAGGCCCGCGAAAGAGCGCATTGCCTGGAAGGGCATTTGCCCATCCATGGCCTTGAAATAAGCCTTGAAACCTTTGTTTCAAGTATGAATTGACAAAGGGTAATTAGCCTGCTTCTCAGCGCACTAAAAGGGATTTAGATGTCCCAAACACTGTGAACTCAGTGCAATGGAACAAGCTCATCACAATGCGCGAAAGGAAAACCTGTGGTTTTTCTGCAAACGCGAAAGGGTCGCGAAAGGCCGGCGATACAAGCTCAAAAAGAAGAGCTTTGTTGGACAACCCCCACCTGGATGTTGCTCAGGCATTGCTGAAAGACTAGAAGCCATTGCACAAGAAGAGCGGGACAGGCCGACTTGCATGTGCCATCACAGAATGATTGTACAATCTCAAGATGCACATGTAATTGTGGGCAAATGCATGACATTTACGTGCCATCATAAGAACTTGCATGCACTTGATGCATACACTCCAGTTTTGGCCTTTGCAGTGCTTATGACCAATTGAGATAGGCTCAGCCTGCTGAATCAAGAGCTCACGGAGAACTTGATTAAAGCTCGGGCAGACCTGTACGCCAACATCGAGCGTGCTTGAGACTGAGCAACTGGCGTTTGACAAGGGTGTTTAATTCAGCTTCAGTGGAAGACTTAGCTGGATTCGGATACTGTATTTGGAAATAAGCCCCAAAGGAGCTCATGCTGCTTCATTGCCGGCCATGAACGCAAGCAGCAGCTCTCATACGATAGACAAACTATTGAGTTGGACATGGATGTAGCTGATGTGATTTCAATGGTACATTGCCACATATTGCCACCAAAAAATGGAAAGACCTGTGTGACTGTGTGATTGTACACCGATGAGTCGTTGCGTGATGTTGTATTTGTATTTTGGATTGGGGACTGCGCATTCAACAAATACAAATTCTGCATGTAAAGCGGTAAAACACTAGGAAGGTGAAGAACATCATCCAGATAGTACACAATAGTACAAATTGATGAGCCATTCTAACAACATCTAACAACACTTTGCAGTAGCAGAATCATTTGGAAAGGTTTCCAGCTTATAGTTCCCAGAAAATGCGCGAGTGCATCAGTTAGCTTAGGTTCGCTCGGACTACGAACAAGATGCTGCGCGTTTGGACTCCGATCTCTTCTCAGCACATCCCATGCGAGTGTGTGTATAGACGACCAACTTCTCCCTGAGGACTTGGCAGATCTTCACATGAAGTACGATGTCACAAAGCAGGAGATCAACTTCTTCCAGTCCAAGCTGAAGGACGAAGCAAAAACGAAGGGACGAAGGGCTCTCATGGGCGAAGCCGCAAAAACAAGACCGTGGGATACCGTGGGGTGAAGGACGAAGCCCAATCCCTCACTCAACCCAGTGGACTTAGTCTCAGGACCAGCGAGAGTGGACAGAGCGTTGCTTGGCGGAGAGCAGTACGGCCACTCGAGCAGCTGCTTTGGACTCCCAAGTGCCTCGATGGAAAGCGTGGAGTATTTGAGCACTTCGATGTCTGCAGAAGTACATGAGCTGTTACATGAACCATTGGAACCATTCATTAATCATGAATATGCTAAGGCGCAGAGCGCGTGTGCGCACACATACACACAGATACACCGTACACTGTACACTCTTTGCACATCCTAGTTTTGGGGTTATATAAATACCATTTGGTGTCAGTGAAAAGCCTCATCAAAGCCTTAGAGTGCCTGGAAGAGAGATTGTTTGCAACGAAGAAAACAGCAAACTTTTGATTCAAGGAAGGCTTGGCTGCTACCACGAAGATGCTCCATGCGCTGCGAGATGATGCTGTCATCGACCTGGCTTGTATCATGGTGAACTAGCGACAAGGGCACGTGTGCCACACGACGTGTGCGTTTTGGAACGGTGGTCCTTCAGGTGCTTCCGTGCGCATCTCGAGGTCAGCTTCCGTGAAAAGATGGCAAAGTACATCAGCATTTTGCAGCATTCGCTGGAAGCCCGGTGTTTTCCCATGCCCTTTCTTCCGAGCTTTTGGCTTTTGGGTGAAGTAGGAAGTCAAACAGACTGGATTGAAAGCAAGAGGTCACGCCAACCTAGTGCAAGAACTGTGCACATGACACATTCCCTGTTTCACTCAGACAAGACAGGCAAGGCTGTTGTTCATTTAAGGTCTGACCAGCAAGGCGAGGCCATCAATTCAGTATGGGCCTCAATTGTGGAGAAGAAGATTCTTATCCCTCTCTTTGTGTATCGTTGTGGCTGTTTTGTTTTTGTTGCGCTTGCCCTGTCTTACAAATGTATACAACTGTTCCTGCAGCAGCCCTTTCATCGGCCTATCTATGCAGCATTATGTAGCTAGGAGCTGATTAGATTTGAATGCTGTCACCCAGGACAATATTGTCTCCCCAATGTATGGTGTAGAGCTGCCCCGTGAAACGTGGACCACGATGGACACTCGCCGCGAATCGCACTTCAGAGACTCTCTAGAAACAGTCCTTGCTCCGAAGTTTCCCCAATCCTTCTCACTTCTGCTTTGGTGATCCTCAATCGGTTCTGGGTCAGCGAAGGCTGGAAGAAAAGGTTGCTTTTCGATCCGAATGGCTTGGGAAACTGATGAAAAAGGCTGCATCGCAGGAATATGGACAGGGAAAATGTGTTGTTGTGTGGGCCGCTTTGGTTTTAACATGTTTTACCGTTATATATATATATACCGAATTACAGTACATATACTATATCATGTATACGTGCTGAGCATGTTCGCGTTCATTTTCCGCTCACATGGGACAAGGGGTTGATTGAGCTGAGAGATATCGAAAAAAGATTTCGAAGGTTGCTACAAATTGATTGTGCTTAAAAAAACACAAGAACGGTTTCAAGAGAAAAAAGGTCTAAACTAAACCTGGGGAAGCCGATTGAGTTGAAAGATATTGAACAAAATATCAAAGGTTGCTAGAATCAAGCCGCGTGAGCCTCTGTTTGTAGTTCCTCAGCTGAACCTGCCGCTAAGTTGGAGATCAATCGCACGCGCATGCGTGCAGAGCTCGATGCTTTGGTCGCTGACCACAAGGCACTTTGGATGGACTCCGATTGAATGCTGACTGATAGATTTGGGAATCTGGCCCATCATCAACAAATCTCAAGTATCTACATTGACATAGTGGTTGCACCTAGAACTATGCTGCCGTGACTTATTGTAAATGGCTATACAAATTGCCTGTTCCACATGAAATGGTGACCGCAACGATGCAGAAAGATGAACATGGCAGGCTTACACCACAGATATGGACGATTGGGCAGACGATGTTCGGGTGAAGGCCTGCAATTCATGCATGTTGATATTCTTACGTGTTTTGTTTATTCACAATGTCATCATTAGTTGAGCAAAACAACACATCACAACAGCCGCATTGTTTGCGTGCATTTCCAAGCCACCCAATTTAACAACCGAGAATCAGAAATGGGACCCAAAACGATACAGCAGAAAGGGAAGAAGGACAGGTTGTTGGTTCCCTTCATAGACTCTTCTCATGTATTCTTGTGCCTCTAGTCTGCGTGTTTCTGTTTGTTTGCTTGTTTTGTGTTCTTGCCTCCATTCAACTTTCATTCTGGCACCCATGATCCCTCTTTGATAGGTGGAGCGGCTCTTCCGCGCGCTGGAGCCTACAAAGGCAAGCTTCCTTTGTGGCGACAAAACCAACAGTTCCTGTTCTTTGTTTTCATTTACTGTACTCCATCTTGTCCAGCTTTGTGCATGAGTTCAATCTTTCTACTCTCGTTGCACTTTCACTTTCAAGGTTGAATGGCGCATTGAAAAAGCCACACAAAAAGCAAAGGCCCCGCAATTCATTCAACTACTTTGATTGAACAGTCAGACTTTTCTTATGTGTGCAGGAGCTGAAGAAGCCTTTGGCTGTAAAATCACCGATGTTTGGCATCAGAGGTGCATCGCTTGCAAGTGCGGCGTGGGATGAACGGTGTCTTCACATGTCGTCAATTCGCACTGTTTGGTATTCGTGAGGGCCACTCGGAGTTCTTCCTAGAAGACACACCTGTTAGGAGCTTCTTGTTTCTAGTAGTAATGGCCTCCAACCTAGTAGCGATGGCCTCCAACCCAATAGCGATGGCCTCCACCCTAGTAGCGTCCTTGTTCATCAATTCTCGTTAGGTATTCGTGAGGGCCACTTGGAGTTCTTCCCGGATGGCCACAACAATACGCCAGATGGCAAGGCCTGTGCAACGATGTCCAACGCGTGATCTTGTGCCTTGGTGGACTTGCATCAAGAGTGAGGCTTGCCTACGCCTTTTCGTTCCGCCTCAGGCTTGTGTTTGCGCCATAATTCAACATGCTTGTCGATTGTACTTTTGCATGGGCGCGTCAGATGTTCCTTCTGGAAAGGCCCATATCCGTTACCAATGCTGGATTGGCAAAAGCACCGAAGGGCCTCGGGAGTCTTGACCTAAGGACTTTAAATGGACACTTTTAGCTTGGAACTGTACTAGTACCTGAGCTAGTTGAAGATTCTGGACGCATGAATCTCGATAATGCTCCAGGCGGACTCCCGGGGACAATTTGTCGGTTGATATGTACCTCGCAGACTGGGAGGACACTATATCACAGACGATGTTCCCTTTGTGCTCGAAGATGTTGAAGCTATGTTTCGTAGGAACTGAAGACACATTGATGAAGACAATCCAAATTCACATGCTTTGGAGACATGCAAACCGCAGGATCAAGTTTCAGATGATGGCGCAGTTCCTGTTGTCCTGGAGGCTGATTTGAAACGGAGTCCCATCCAAGTGTTGAGGTCAGTGGGATCCGTTTGAGGTAAGTCGGCATGCACACCTCAAATGGATTAGTGTATCTCGTTTCATCTCTCTTAGATTCTTGAACATCCATTGATTCTTGAACATCCATTGCTAGTTTGACTTGCAGGTCCTCCGTGACTACAACAATGATGATGCGTCATGAGCCGAGTCGTTGAGGTCTTTTGAGCAGCGTCACTGTTGGAAGCGGATAGCGCCCAGAGATGGAGCTTCCAGGTCACTGGCGAGGGAGATCCGTGTGAACAGCACGTGAAGTGTTGTGCTAAGCAGTTTGGATGATGAAGAAGGTTATACGTTATACGTTATACATTATAGACACTCTGTACAACCCTTTCCAAAGATGCAAGTGACATGTTTAATTTGTTGTTATTTTCATTATATAATCGTTTGCGTGTGGTGACATCGGGTGAGACAGCACACAGACGAATAGCTCGACACAAGAGTGGGCTTGCATTGGCGCTTTCAGGAAGGACAGCTCTTGTTTTGAGGAGCCAAAATTTGCATGGTAGGAAGGAAGGCATCCGTTTCGATTGCGGAGATGCCCATTGTTCTGCTAAGCTGCCATGTTGCAAGCTGGCAAAGGTTTCGCAAGGCCTCAATGCTCCAGATGCAAAAGCATGGAGCAGAAAGATGGTCAGAAGAATCTGATGACGAAAAAGTTGTGTTGGGATTTATGTCGACTCATCAATTCTGTCAATAACCCCCCCACCCCATACGGTCCAAAGGTCTGCTACCCAAATAATTTCGGGGGTCCCATCAGGAGGGATCCCAAGTAAAGGGCAATTGAATTTGGCATTTCATCAATTAGGTAATTGACCTCTCCCAATCAATCAGATGGAATCAGGAAAAAATAACGAAGGAGGTGAAGAAAGGAAAGAGGAGGTGATCAGTATTGCAGTTTTTTTTCCTGCAAAAAAGAGTGACTTACTGTAAGGGGGTTCGGGCATATACAATATATATATATACATATCCTGGAGGCTCCTTGCACAGCAACATGCGACGATTAGCACAGCTTCTTACGCCTGCACACTCCCACACAGTTGTGCGCACCAGGGTCTGATGGACAAGCCAGGACTGGAAGTTTTGAGGTAGCATTTGTGTCGAGCACCGTTGGCATCACCAGAGTACGAGCAACATTGTTCATAAACTACATACATTTTGTGTTTTGCGCCGCATCTTTCCTGCTGAGACTCTGCTGATGCTAATGCTAGACCAAAGTGTCTCCTCAAAAGTTGTCTCCATTCTCAATGCTTTATGTTCTAGAGGCTTTGAAGCTATACAGTGCCCCATTTTTGATCATATTCCACTGTTTTTGATTTGACAGCCCTGGTGACGCTAGAAAAGAAGAAAAGAGGTCAGCGGCATGGAGCGCGTCTCCGTATAGCAAGCTTGGCTTGATAATGATAAGGGTACCGGAACGGCGTGCCGCCGACCCCCCTGGTGGGGGGGTCGGTGGACGGTTGATGAATGTGGCTGTTAGAAGGCATGGTGCAGCAGCATCTGGATACTGTTGCCATATTGCCAGTGAGTTGTAAGTTCCTCCAGAGGTTGAGCAGCACATGAAGAGTTGCAGAAGTTAGAGGTTGTTGAGTCTACTTTTCTTTGGCTTACATGTCAGTGCACTCAGCTTTGCCTTGTGCAAACAACAACGAAACGATCATGGAATGCGTGGAAAACCCCAGGTATACCTGCAAAATGCAGCCCACGGCCTGTTGGCAGGGCCCTCGCCGGGGCGGAGAGACCGCCTAGAAAAGAGGTCTAGGACGGCCCCATTGACCACGCCAAAACCTCAAGTAACGGCCTGGCGGCAGCCTCCTGAGGTCCGATAGAACGAGTATAGTGGAAAGCCCAGGTATACTCGCAAAACGCAGCCCACGGCCTGTTGAAAGGGTCCTCAGGCCATCCCAAAAAACAACAATCTTGCCACAACAAAACACCCTGGCCCTGGAGGGGCGGGGAGTGACCGCTGCCACAAGGCAGCTGCAACAAGCAGGCGGAAGCAAGTGAGTCAGTCTAGCCTGGCCGCATAGATTGCAGGAGTCCACATGCAACAGCTTCCTCAGCAAGCCTAGCCAGGTTGCGTAGGTTGCTGGAATTGACAGGCAACAGTTTCCACCCTGCGGTGTCCCAGGCGCCGCCCTGCCTAGGCATCAGCTGGGCAGGGTCGGCGGATATATAAAGATATGTTTTTTTATATACCTTTTTGGCACAACATCCTACCACAAAAAGAGTAAACAATTTTGAGAAGTTCTTTGGGACTCCAGTCTGGGCTTGGGCTGCAACGCTTAGTGGCTCACACAGAGACACAGCAGGCCCACTAGACACACAACTTAGTTGTTGAACAGTGACAAACCTGATCGGGCTTTCAACAGCATACCGGCAAGCAAACTTCATGAGTTCGTGCACCCATCATATTGACATCCCGATCGTTGCAGAAGCTGAGCCAATGGAAACACCAACTGGAAGTGCTGTGCGTCAGCGGGGGTTGCATCTCATCGGCTTCCCAAACCACAAGCACCCTGCATGTGCAAGCAGGCCTGACGTGCTGAAATGACTTCCCGGGCAATCCTGCAACTTCCACATGGAGGGGATTCTTGCTCATCCAAAAACACCCCTGCAGCAAAAAACATCCTCCGAGACTAATTCCGAACCCATTCCATATAATTAGACATGCAAAGGCATGTCGACCAAACTACTGTATAAAGTATACTGTATACCGCTGTAACATTGTTTGATGTGATGAAACTCCCAAGCAACAATAGGAACAAAAGCGTTCCATCTAAAGCTTTGGTGATGGAACCGGCAGGTACCACTGTGGCAGCTCTCAAATGCGCAAGCTGCAGACGTTAGCTCTCATCACACCTCAGTTGGCGGTCGTAGCAAAGCTCCAACAGATCACTCGAAGCTGGTGCCGGAGGAAGCAGATGGCATTGGTCCATGTGCCGTATGTGCTTCATTCAACAAGGCCTTCACAAGATGTGGATGTGCTCCAAGATTTGGATCCACGTTTAGCCCAAATGGACGACGATCCTCGGCGCCACAAAGATGCACAGCTTGGCAAGGCTCAAAGGGCAGCCTTGGGAGAGCGTGGCTTGGCCGGCCGAAACAGCTCGTCATTCAACCCTGAATCCACACTTGTCCGCCCGGCAATGAGAGTCATTGTTGGCTCACCAAAGCGAAAAACATTTGGAAAGCCTTTAAGCCACGATGACGTTGTAATGGTTCCTGACTTTTTTTGTGAGGAGGATGATTGGACAGTGTACTATGACCTGATCCGAGAGATGCGTATGTTGCAATCAAAGAATGTCCGCAACTCTCATTGGAAGTCATGGCATGAGGGAGCTCACTTGTTGAGCCCCAATCCTGTGAGATGTGAAACATATCAGCAGATTCTAAGTCGCATGTCCCAGTACTTCTGCGTGGAGATGGCTGCGGGTGGGGCCCGTTTCAACTGGTACCGAGATGGGAGCGATTGGAAACCTTTTCATCATGACTCGGCAGCCTTCAACGTTTCCAGAGCACGAAAGCAGAACTGTACAGTTGGGATTTCCTTCGGCGCATCTCGTGAATTGGCCTTTAAACATGCTTTGAGCGGAGAGCTAGTCTATTTCCCGCAAACCAATGGAACGCTTTTCTATTTTGGAAGGGATGTGAACATCCGATGGCAGCATGGCATTAATGCCCTTGCAAGACATCATCAAGATGGAAAGGGACGGATCTCCATCATCCTGTGGGGCAGGGTACCAGCGACGCACGAGCCGCATTCTCCAGCTATGCTGACTGACCAAGATCGGCAAGGAAGCTTCAGTATTAGCAGGAAACCATGTCGAGATTTTCTCCGCGGCAATTGCAAATACGGGGCTCAATGCAGATTTGCTCACGTATCAGCTGCTGGAGAGGAAAGAGTGATGCACAGAAGAGGACAGAGTGATGCACAGAAGATAGTATGGTGATTGAAGGTCGTAATTTAGTTCTGGGCTCCTGGCCTTACTACTAGGAGCAAGGACGCTACTAGGGGCTCCTAGCATCGCTACTAGGAGCATTCTTACTACTAGTAAGAAGAAGCTTGTTTCCATGATTTGCTAAGTCCCAAGCGTTGGAACATGCTGAAACTCATTCTGTCCATGCAGAGTCTAGAAGACAGTGGCTGCTGCACCCAGTCATTTTTGGAGCCGCCCTTGCTATGTTCAGATACCTTGCCGAGCACCTTGAACCATCAACAGGATGTGAATTATCCAGGAGCATGTGTCATGTGTAGAGGAAGGCTTTCACAAGAAACTGACTAGGAATAATGCAACAGAAGGGCACGGCGCAGTTTGCCTGGCTTGTTATTGCAAAAGACTTGAGAAGAACCATATAGAGCATCCCAAGGTTTTGTTGTCTAGCTAGGCTGGCTATGAACTCGCCAATCCCCCAAATAGCCAGCCCTGCAGTTGGCCATAGACTTTGCAAAGGCTCCCTGTCCGATGCCGAACAGCTCCAACCTTTCGGGCCGCTTTGTGCATGACATTATGATGACATGCTGCATCATGATGCCAAAGCATAGCAAAGCATAGCATCGCTTGAGTTCAACACTGATTTGATACTTGAGCCTGACATCAGTTGCCCGATATCAACCTTACACAATGTCATAGGCAGGAATGGCCGACACATTTGGTGTGTTGGGTGCGGTGAGGAAAGCCATGGTATCCAAGGAGTTGAAGTGTTCAAAATGGTCTGAAAGAGGGAATCGAAAAGGGTACAGCAGATGCTTCATATCATATAGAGACTAAGTCACTCGAACTTGATCGATTTTGACTCAAGATTGTGGAAGAGAGAAAGGGTTCTTCCGGCTGCGACGGATAGTGAACGTCTCTTCGGCAGGAGCCTCATTTCTTTACTGCCGAAATCGACGTAACTTGTCTGCACTGAGACTTCTGCTCGTCACGCAAGCTTGGAGATCTCAGGCGTCTCAAGGGGCCTTGGGGCTGAAGCTCAGTGAGGACAACTTGTGCACTTTGACAGAAAAAGACTCCAGATCGCACAACTGTAATTGATCTGTGAAGAAGGCCTTGAATGCCTTGAAGGCAGAATTTGTGATTGGCCGTGACAGCGCAGGACGGGGTGACAGTGGCGTCAGTCCTGGCCTTGGAGGGGTGAAAGATGGTGAAAGGGTTTAGTTTAAGTTTAGATAAGGAGTGGTAGGAGACGGGGGGAGTCGGCGCAAGGCGTAAGTGCACAGCTGGAACGAAGGAGAGGAGTCTCTCTGAGGTGGATGAGGGTGGTTTGGCTGACCAATGGAATGCCTTGCATTCCAGCAAAATTGCTCCTGGAGTGGAAGTCCGGGCCATCAATGGCAGCTGGAACCCGATACGTATGCTGGAGGAGCAAACAAGCTTCCCGCGAATGATGCAAATTGAGTTGATTGGCTGAAGGATGGTGTAGCTCAGATTGAAAGTCTTACTGTACTTGGAATCACGATTGGTGCAGGAGCTACAAGAAGCAAAGACTTTGAAACTGGATCTTTGGAAGCCGAGAATGAGAAAGGAAGTACCTGGACCATCCTGGACATTCTTTTTTGCATTTCAGGGAAGGGACAGGTCGGAGAAACATTCTCAAGACTCATTGTCTATGAGTCAGTGTAATCTATTGACCCACATTGCCATTGACAAGCCAAGGTCAAAGTGCTTCCTCGGAATGTTCTTGGTGCAGAGCCAGTTCTGTTGCTCAACTGCACCAGTCAAAAGCAGTTGCAGAGAAGCTACAGCTACACTCTAGACAGTCACGTTGAGTTCTTTTTGAGCAAATGGCTTCCAGTAGGTTGCTACAACAGCGCATTGATGTGGAAGAGAAAAGACGAGAGGAGGCCATCGAGCAATTGACCTCCTTCATGACAGAAGCCATCACCACAGTTTCCAACCGCATGGAAGTGCCTCGACATGCATCATGAGAATCAAGAATCAAGAATCAAGAAGACACAAGAGGCTCCCAACAAGATTGACACGTGCTGCTTTTGCCCGTGAATGTAAGGAATTGGCGCTGACCCATTTGAAGAGCCAGCAGCAGCAAGACTCAGCTATGCAGGGTTTGACCCAAAGACTGATTGAGGTGCAAGAGTCTGACAATGCGCAGATCCACCAGTTAAAGCAGCTGGACGAGATCCAAAGCGGCGCTACACAGCAGATCTCTCGCATTGAAGCCAAACATCAAGAACTCTTTCATGGACTCAATGAATTGTCTTCTGAAACAAAAACCTGTATTGGCCAGCTGAATGAGGCTGTCCGCGGCATTCTTGAAGATGCTGGTGCTCTCGAGCGCTTGCGCAAGAGAGCCTCCCAAAGTCTTCAACGGGAGGATGACCAAGACACATTGGCTGACACAATTAAGACAGATTCGGACAGAACAGTGTTGCCTGCTGGCAGTCTGGAGAGGCAGGATAGCCAAAAAACACAAAGTTTAGCTGGCTTAGCTTCCTTCGAGCCCCCCATCATCAGTGCTGGTGGAGCATCGGGGCAGTGGCAGACTCGGACAGGCACTTCCCCTGCTCTTCCCGTGAGACCTGTGCAGCCAGTCTCCCCTGTCATGGTGGAAAGACCACAGGTGACTGGATCCATCATCACACCCAGAAAACCTGAGGTATATGCAAGAGCCACTAGATGTGCAAATTTGGAGAGAGCCACTGGTGCTGCAGAAGCGGGGTGCCAGATGTTCTCTCCCCGAAAGATGCCTCAAGTACCTCCACTCAACTGGCCCAGCCAACCGTTGATGCATTCACCTATGCCTTCTCCACGGTTCACCTCACCAGTGAGGTCTCCCCGTATCGCTGCCATTAGGACCTTAAGTCCGCAGCCAATGCAAACATGGCAGATGCGAGCTTCAGTGCCAGCCAAGCCTGGCAAGACGGCAAACTCAAAGCAGGAAGCGTTGCAAGCGTTGCAAACTGCAGACTCCCAGTCTCGAGTTGACAACTCGAGGATTCTCACGCCACGAGTTGACAACTCCCTTCCTGCCACTGAGCGGGCTCGCCGAGTGACTTCACCAACTCGGAACGAGGCGAAGTGATGTGAGGTGATGAAGCCTTTCAAATCCTTTCAACGTTTTATGTGCACAAAGCCTCTCCCGGCACGCCTGAATTCAAGAATGCTCAGTAGATCAATGAGCTCAATGTAGACTAATGATTTAATGTACAAAGTGAGCTAAAGCAGCTCGGCCTCAGCAAAAAGTCTGGGAGTGTTGTCTCTTTGTAGGAAGGCTGAGTGATTCTCCACTTTGCAGTCCAGCATTGGCTTGATCATGCAGGTTGTAAGCATGTGTAGTCTGAGTGATTGACTTCAAGATTTCCAGCAACATAATTGCATATGTTGAAGCATATGCAACTATCCAATTGAACCATGCGTTGCAATTGCAAACAATGTCCAAAAGGCTGCTTCGCAAACTCGACATATTTTGTACACCTTTGCACAATCTCACGGGCTGTTTTGCGACTTTCAAGAACAACACAAGACCCATTCTCATATTCACGGAGTTGGACTATGTTGAAGATCTCTTGACGCATGCAAAGCTGATGTGCAAGCAAGGCTCTCAGCTGAAGAAGCAATAAGAGACCGAATATCGCTGAATCTATCTTAATCCGGCAGAATGCCCCGTGTGCCTTTTGGCCAGTCGAAGTTGCCAGGACTGTGCCGGGCAAATGAGCTGCTCAGCCCAAAGAGCTTGGGATGATGCACAATGCCGAATTCCATGACCCATGATCACACAGCAAGTAAGCGAACAAAACAGGTGGGTCACACAACAGCTGGGTGGCTAGTGTCTTTCCTTTGAATAATTCTGAGAAAAGTGAAGGGGCCTCTTTGAAGGGAATCTTGCTTGGTCTGTGAAATCTTGGCTATCAGTTGAGACTGGTGCATGTTTGATGATTCATGTTGGTGCGCACATGCTTTTCATGCGAGGTGGCGGTGGTCGAGAAGATCTGACATTGCATGCCAGCAAGTACAAACCTAAAGTGTTGCAGGCCATTGCAGCCTCTCCAATTCACTCCAACTTGCCTAGGAGGCAATTGAGTCTAACCAAGGTATGGAGTGGCAGTGTGCTTGCCACAGACTCTCTCATTCAGTTCGTTCTGATTCAGTCCAATAGCTTCCAGTAGATACATTGTGCAAGAAGGTCCTGGGACCTTGGAAGAACGGCTGTCGACCTTGACCTCCAGGCCACCACACTGTTGAATCACAACAACACCTCTGGTCCTTACCATCGGTCCAATCCAGCTGAGCCATGTTGGCACATGTTGGCACACTTTAGAGGAATAGCTGACAGGCTGTTGTGGTTGATGAGAAGGGGTCCATCATTGATGCGGTCTACTACAACAACATGAAGGCCGAACTGAGGGAACATGCGGGGCCCAATGGTGGGCCCATCCAACAAAATTCGAAGCAAAGCGATGCAACGCGTACGAATTCGAGGCTCTCCGGGGGAGCATCACACACTCGGGAGATGAACAAACTGGAAAAAAGGCACTGGGATGCACAGCGTGTTGGTGATGGTGGGATACATCATGCTGCAAAGTTTGTGTCAGGCTGGCCTGGATGAATTTATTTGGGTGAATTTGTCGAGGCTTCCGGAGAGCATAAGGCATCGCCCCTAGTCAGCCGGGAATGATTGTTTTCAATTGTTTTCATGCGTTTTCTCCCCGTCGCACATAGGCTGGTCATTTTTGTTGTGGCTGCCTTCAGTGGAGGGAGCTTGCGTGATGTCACAAACTTAACCGGAAATTTAACCGGAGGATTGTTTTGTACCTCATCAATGTTGCACGTTTGCATTGGTCGCTACGAGGAGTAAATGTTTAAGAGAAGCCCAGACTTACTTCCCATCACGCAAGTTGCTTTGTGCCTTCATATTTCTGAGGGCACAGAGTGGAGAGGCACGATGTGGATATCTCTTGAAACCGCTTGAGGCACAGAATGGGATGCTACATATTCTTGAAGAAGATATGAAGCACGAGGTGCGACTGTGAGATGTCAAGCAATGCTAGGCCTGATGAGCTCACCGTTTGCGTTGAGCAATGGAACTGGGTAAGATGTCCCCTTCAAGAAGGTAAAACAAAAACAACATTTGCTTCCCGCCGGTCCCAGCGTTTCCCTGCGTTTTATTGCCTGTTTGTGTAATCAAGGCGACACACAGACTGACCACATTGTATAAGAGTGGGACAAAAGAGCCAGAGCACCTTGAATACTTCACAAGAGCACCTTGATCCTCCGCCCATGTGTTTCAATCGCAGAAAGTGTATCGTGATACATTGCGTATGTGTCCAGGTGGGCAGATACCAACTCGAACAAAGTCTTCATCAAGTTGATGCTGTCGCCGTGATGCAGCGTTTCGCCACTCAACGACATATGAAGATTTCATGCTTTTATAAAAGCACATGGTTAGGTAAGTCCGAGTTCACACCAGGAGTCTGATTGGCGCTTGCGAGTCATCGAAGAGCCAGCACGAGAAGGACAGCAACTCAAAGGGCCGAAACGTATTCAGTACCTGCTGAAACACGGGATGCCAATCAAAAAGAACATTGATTCCTATCAATAAAACATTGATTCCTATCAAACAACAATTAATTCGTTTCAAAAAGAAAATTCCCCCTACTCCTTTGGTCCTGGTCCACTGATTAGTGCCACGAATATCGATCCTGTGAAGAAGAAGACGAGAGAAGAAGAAAAGAAGAAAGATGCGACGAGAGAAGAAAATACAAGCAAGAGCCCACCCATAGTCATGTCAGGCAGTAGGAAAGTTCCCTTGGTCCTCTGGTCCCTTGGTCCTCTGGTCCTTCGTCCTGGTCTTCGGGTCCTTGGTCTGTACTTTCGAGGCAAGACGAGTTCGGGGTGATTCGGAAATCTGGTCATAAGACCTTTTATCACCAGACGTAGCAGACCTTTTTTGTGAGCCACCCTGACGGTAAAATTTAGACGAAGAAGGTGCCCTTCCAAGGTAGCAAACCTTTTGTGAGCCACCTGAGGCCAACATTTAGAAGAGGAAGGAGCCACTCCAACGTTGCAGACATTTTGTCAGCCTTGCGAGGCTAAAATTTAGCGGAATAAGTTGCCATTCCAACATAGCAGGCCTTTGTTTCGTGAGTAGAATCTGCTACTCGAACATAGCAGACACTTTAGGTGCCACGCCAAGGTAGCAGACCTTTTGTGAGCAAAATTTAGAGGAGCAGTAGACCTTTTGTGAGCCATGCGAGGGCACAATTGACAGGAGCAGACCTGTTGGCAGAATAAACTTTAAAGGAGGAAGGTGCCATTCCAACATAGCAGACCTTTTGTGAGCCATCCACAGGTCTCGTGGCTTCGAGATTCAGAGATGTTTTGAGATCCATCCTAGAGGTTTGAAATTCAGACAGATCACGGTTGAGATGCAGCGAGGTCTACATCTACAAAGTGTCCAGACGGATCTGCAGGTGTAGAGGTCTAGAAACCCACAGATCTAAAGATGGAGGTCTAGAGGTCTTGAGTCTTGAGATCCAGGCAGGTCTTGGAATCTTAAGTTCTAGGGTCTAGACTTGCAGAGGGTGTAGAAAGATGCTCAGATCCAGATATATCAAAAGCTCTTTTCAGAGGTCTTGAGATCCACAAAAATTTTGCGCACGCCACGCAATCTGCACTTCGAGGTTCGGAATCGCTGCGCCTGCCACGGAGTCTGCGCTTATAGACAGAGGTTCACCCAGCCATCTGCACTTCGAGGTTCACCCAGCGCCGCGCCTGCCACGCAATCTGCACTTTGAGGTTCACGAAGTGCTGCGCCTGCCATGAAACCTGCAGTTCCAGTGCGCAAAGTGCTGCGCTTGCCACGAGCCCGGCAACTGAAGGTGCTCAAAGTGCCACGCGTGCCACGAAATCTGCAGTTCCAATGCGCAAAATGCCGCTCGTGCCACGAAACCTGGTACTGGAGATGCTGAAAGTGCTGCGCCTGCCACGAAATCTGCAATTCCAGTGCACAAAGTGCTGCTCCTTGCACAAAATCTGCTAGTGGAGGCTCAAAGTGCTGCGCCCGCCACGCAATCTGCGCATCCGGATTAGCGCTGCCAAGGCGGTTCGCAGTGGCAGGCGCAGCTCTTTGTGAAAGGATATTTTCTTTTTGACACCAATTAACTTTCTGTTTGGTAAGATATATAAAATATTTTTCTTGATATATATATATATATATTTATATTCTTTTTGATAGCCCGGCCCTGAAACACCTCATATTTACCAACTTGCTTGGAAGTCGAGACTATATTTTGGGCTCTTATAACCATTTTGCAACATTTGCAGGTACTGTATTTGTTACGAAATGTTACAAAAATATGGACCCTTTACAGTACTAATCGATGATAAATTGAGTATGTGTTTGTTTCTTGAATGCTTTTGCTTTTGTGCTTTTGTAGAAGAGGCTGAAGTATTCCCTGACCAAAGATCACTGAAGTCTGGAGATCCTGCACACTGCACTCTGCAGCAAGGGAGATGTCTTCCCAAGGTCGACACTTCATAGACATCCTCGAGCCAGTTCTTGGGAACCTTGGATTGAAGAAGGTCAAATAGGAGCAAACAAACTGTATAATTGTGTGTATATATATACATACACATGTCACATCATATAATTACTTTAACTACTGTACATACATATATATATATAACTACTGTACATATATATATACTTTAAACATCAACCATGTAGGTGGGTGATTGGGTTCCTTACAGAAACAAACCTTTAGAATGCACGATCCGCCGATCCAATTCAGCTGCTGGTCACTGATCTTAGGAACATCATACGCGCAGCGATTCCAGGAGCTCCAAAGCGCCAGAAGGCTGTGGGTGTTTGGATGTCGCGCGGTACACTGGGTGTATTTTCTGTATTCGGGATATGAACCCTACACTTTCATTTCTAGCACGGATGACAAGGTCAGTCATGAAGGATCCAGCCCAAGAAGCACCGAAGATTTGGGTATTTTTTGTTGTGAAGGTGGCCTTCGCGATGGAAAAGGCGGCTGTGGTGGATTTGTTTGGCACCCTGATCGCTGCAATCGGTTCAATCTCATGTTTCAACTTCATCAGGCCACAGGCTTACTCCCTGAGCAAAGTCTACGCGGGTCTTGGCTATCCGTGCGAATTGTTGGACGTGCTAGAACTTCGGTTTCTTGAAAGGTGTCTTTAGTTCTCTCGAAATTCTATTCTGAGATTTTTTGGTGCCTCTTGGGAGAGAAGAAAGAACGCAAAGCAGGAACGTATTGGTCTGCTATGAATTGCATGTTAACACCAGCCAGGCTGGGACGCGTCAAGCACTCTGGACATCGATCTCGATGTTGGACGCACAGAGGCAACTTTTGTAAAGCGTCACAGCAGCGCACATCCAAATGCTGCAGTTGCTTGCATTGCCATTGATTTCCTTAGGTTTCTGCTGTGGTCCTGACCAAAGAATACCAGGCGTGGATCCTCCACATGGCTTAGGCGTTCTTGACGATAGCAGTCTCTCACTCACAATTCAATCAAACCACAACGTGCCTTGCACATGCCTTATTATGTTTTTTAGATGAGGAAATCATCCTGAATTTGAGACATGTGTTAAAGGAGTTCACCATCTGTTCAGAACAAGTTCACCATTTGGTTAAGGCTATTAGAAGAGGATCGGCTACAAACAAGCAGTTGTTCCACCCACAAGATGTACTCCACCGTGTTGAAATCCAACATCACGTCTCCAGATGTCAATGAGCAGATGCGCCGACAGCACGACGATGTCAGGTTCTTGGTGCAGTCTTTTTCGGACAACTTGAAGCTCGCGGCTCGTGGTGCTCGTCAGCTAGATAGAGACGTTCTTTCAATTCTGACAGTCCAGCCAACCAGATCAAACTAAACACAACATCAAGCAACATCCAACCAAGGCCACACACACATAACAAATCTATTATGTATATTTATATATAAACCAATCTATTATATACTTACATATATATATATATATAGGCACATCATTTGTTGATGCCTACTGATCACTCATTTTCTGTGTGGACATGCTGTTAGCATCAGGGCTGGGCGCTCAAACACAGTGGCGACAACCTCACCGGCGAGGCCACGGAGCTTTTTTCCAAATGGAATGCACTTGAAGGAACAAGAGGACGCTACTAGGGGCTCCCGGCATCGCTACTAGGAGCAAGGACGCTACTAGGGGCTCCTGGCCGTACTACTAGGAACAGGGGAGCTTCCTTGATCTATAAGCATGGTAAAGCGATGGGTTCCAACCTAATAGCGATGGCTCCAACCTAATAGCGATGACCTCCAACCTAATGGCGTTGGCCTCCAACCTAATAGCGGCGGCCTCCAACCAAAGAGCGATGGCCTCCAACCTAATAGCGATGGCCTCCAACCTACTAGCGATGGCCTCCAAGCTAATAACAATGGCCTCCAACCTAATAGCGATGGGCTCCAACCTATTGGCGATGGGCTCCAACCTAATAATGGCGATGGCCTCCAACCTAATAGCGATGGGCTCCAACCTAATGGCGATGGGCTCCAACCAATAGGGATGGCCTCCAAGCTAATTGCGATGGCTACGTAGCGATGGCCCCCTCCCACCTAACCTAATAGCGATGGGTTCCAACCTAAGAGCGATGGCCTCCAACCCAATAGCGATGGTGTGCGAGGGCCTCCAACCCATAGCGATGGCCTCCAACCAATGGGGATGGCCTCCACCCTAATAGCGTTGGCCTCCAACCTAATGGCAATGGCCTCCACCCGAGCAGCGATTTCCTCCAACCTCATAGCGATGGCCTCCACCCCGCTAGCGATGGCCTTCAATCTAAGAGCGATGGCCTCCAAACCACTAGCGATGGCCTTCAACCTACTGGCGATGGCCTCCAACCTACTAGCGATGGCCTCCAACCTAGTAGCGATGGCCTCCAACCTGATTGCGATGGCCTCCAACCTGATTGCGATGGCCTCCAAACCACTAGCGATGGCCTCCAACCTAGTAGCGACGGCCTGCAACCTAATAGCGATAAGGTAAAACTGTGACATGGTGTGTTGCTTGCTGCGCTTTATGTTTTTCATGAATCATGAGTTTCTTCATATAACTTTGAGGGTGGGGGCGATGATGAGGACTGGATCTCAGGCTGAGTGATTTGCGCTCTCAATACTCCCAGGTTGCCCAGATAGACCAATGGCATTTCAGTGACATTATCATCCCGCAAATTCAGCGAGGTAATTGAAGTTGATCTTCGGTCGATCCCAGCGAAGCCCTCAATGGATGTCACTCTCGAAATCGCTTGTTGTTTATCCATTTGATCGATCGTGGAGTAACTGCCTAGACATGCCTAGTCTTTGTCTTGAGTTTAAGTTTGTAGATGTTGACTTGAGGCAGAGGTAGCGCAGATCTTCTTTGTGGTGAATGTTGGATACTCGTACTCAGCGACGGACACTGCTGTGTCTGTTCTGTGCCAGTGAGTTGGACCTTTGTGAACAATTGGGCGGCTTGCCACGAAGATTGTTCTGAAATTAACTGTCAGAGGTCTACACTCGTGGAATCACCTTTGAAAGCATCCAAAGGGCCTACTGCAAAGAACTTACAGAATCCAATGCAGTACTGTGTGGCTCTCTGTTAATGTGTACCTCCTTTGTCAGAACTCAGACAGACATAAAGCAACATTGCACTAATTGCGCTGACTTTAGGCCGGATCTTTGATGCAGCAGGCGAAGAAATGGCCAGATACGTCACGGCCAAAGACGTCTTGGGCACCAGGTTCAGACTTGAATGCAAGGCTTTGCAAAGATGAACCATTTTGCATGGCTTTTGTAATTTCCTTTTGTCGTTACGAGGTTCACCTTGGTTCAACGATGTTCACCGGTCTTGGGCGAATGAGGTCCTGCACGATGGGCGCGGTGAATGCGGCCTGATCATGGGGCGTTTCTTTCATGAGTGCGGATGCCCACAAACCTGAAGCTTAAACCCGAACTTCTTGGTGATATATGATTGCATCATGATTCATGCTTGAGTCACGTGGTTGGTATTATACAATATATATATATTTTTTTAACGTTAAAATGTGTATATACATTACATACAGCAAACTAAAGAGGGGCCCACGATTGGGCTATTGAAGATGTTTGTATGGGTGAGAAAACCCTGCCAGTGGGATTTGTTGGCATTTTTGGGTAGGCGTGTGAGGCACTCTCATCCTACTCAAATGTGGAACTGAGAACTTATGGCAACTTGGACGTTTTGCGATTGCGTCAAGCGGCTAAGGGAACTCTACATCAGCGTACCTCGCTCCCAAGTACATAAAGCCTTTTGATATAAGACTGTACAGTAGGCATCCGGCGGATACCGGCATCCGCATTCAATCAAATTTGTCAGCCCTCAGATTCAACCAAGATCCTCAACCAACCGCACATTCATACCGTGGGGGCATAGAGTATTTTGCATCACAGAGCTGTAGTTTCACCAAAGCCTTTGTGATATCTAAATTCCAGAATATGCTGGATGAACTAGTATGCACAAGCTAAACTTGGGTTTTGAGGTTTTCGGGTGACGCTGCCCGCTGGGGCTTCCAGGCTCGGTTCTTTTATGCAAGACTGTAGCTTGTATGAGTTTCTCCTTTTGTTCTCTCACTGGGTTCTTCTCAAGCTATCCTGCCCGTCTCTTCAGTAGCTGTTTTTGCATGTTTATTTGCCCCATCTCCGGCTATCTCCATGAGCTCAAACTAGACTGGACTGCAAATGCGAGGCTCTTGGCAGCTTCTGCAAGGGCCAGACATGGAAAGATTCAGTGGGCTGCTTGTTCTTGTTCCTTCTGGAACCTGACATATTGGAAGGCTTTAACGTTGACACCCATTCAGGTGCCAGCTATTGCAGCACTGGCCAGACAGAGCCCCAAACAGCATAGTCCTTAGAGGCAATGGTCTCCAATCTGTGAATCTCTTGACAGCCCTGCAAACCGCATAACCTTTGACAGATCATGGCATATAGATTTTGTACGAAGCTTTTGTTTGGAAACTCGACGGTAAATTTTTCTATTTGAAACGTTTGTACGAAGCCAGATCACAGGGCCAAGTTTTCTATTTGAATGGCTCAAAGATACGCGCATTAGCTTGAACGAGGCTGCAAATGCGAAGCGGGACAATCAGCATAGATGGGTCAAGCGCTCAGAGCCCGCGGGTCCCTGGGCCGAAGACTTGCAACTGGCAATTGTCACCCCTTGCCTGTTGGAAGCAATGAGTGCAGAAGGAGATTTGGCAGTTGTTGAAACATATATCAAATTCTTTGTGGTTGACGAACGGAGGCATGATTTACAGCTGTTGAAAACATGAGTGCAAAATGGCACTTGGACCATTCATTTTATAGTCAGGTGGGCAAACATATAAGAACGACAACTTAGATGCAGCTATTTCTTTGAAAGAACGTATGCGTTGTAAAAGTTTGGGCTTTGGATGCATTTGCGTGATAACAGTTGAATCGCCTGGGAAAACGGATACTGAATGGGAGTCTCGCATCACCCACAGCCACTTGGTATGTCAAGCAGTTTTTCCGCACCTGAATTCATTGCAAGCTGATCAAACGCGCAAGTTACCTAAGACCAGTTGACTTTAGTCTATCATGCTTGATTAATCTTCACCATACTTGACCATGGCACTTGCCCACCACTGAAGGCCAGGTGGACGACCTGCACCAGTGAAGGCCATGCCAACTATCCAGGCAAAACGAAAGTCCAGGGGGTTGCTTTGTACATCTTTGTGCAACGTGACTTAGCTTCAAGAGTATGAGGGCGTTCTCTGGATTCGAGGGTGAGAAGATGATAGAAAGAAAAAACAATTGCCAATAGAACACTATGCATTTTCCTATCCTTTCCTGGCATCACCCTCAACATGGAAATCTCTGAATTTGGCCAGGAGCCACCACGGTCTTCAGCCTGCGCCGTCCCCTGGCTGCAAAGGCGGTTCAAACACATGATTTGAGCTCCGTGTGCAGATATTGTGTCAAGTTGCAGCTCAGGTCCTGTGACTTAGCTAGATCATCTTTTCGTTGAATTTGGTGGCCTGATGAAATCACGGCTTCCTGTCACACGTGCTTGGAGCTATCTTGCTGTGTGCAAGCCTTCCGACGTGTTAGACCCGGAGCAACTGCTTTCATTCTGGGAAAGGATCCGGGTGCCCTTTGCGAAGGATTTTTGTCCTATCTTGAATGCCAGTTCTAGGCTGCTGTAGTGCATGACATGCGAGTTGTGGCATGTTGGATCATTTTTGACATTTGCATGGCTTAAGAACTTTCCATTCGTACTTTTCGAGCGTGCCGCGGGAGATCCCTGGCGCAAAGAGGAGCCTGTGGTTCAATCGGTGAACTGTGGATGTCCCACATTTGTCACTTGTCCCCGTCAAGGCGACACATAGGAGGCATCAGACTGCCATCATCAGGCATCAAGCATCATCAAGCCATCAAACTGCCCGAAACCGGTGACACCGTTGTGCAACCGATGGTTACCATGTGTGCTGATGATGACAATGTCCCAAAGAGAAGTTGAGACTACGATCCAAGTCTTGTCAAGGCCTTTGGGTTCGTAACCCGCACTTCCCACTAGTTACATGATTATGTGACAGTGTTGTGAAAACATAACGGAATGAGAACGGAAAACATATCATTATGTTTTGGCGAATTATGTTTGACAATTTGGTGAGCACGATGACAACTGTTGTGACTGGTGGGACGATGTGGACAGGACAATGAAGATTGCTCCAACATGTTGGGAATGTGAAAACGGTGACAGTCGTGTGGAAAGTGATTCCAATGCTGTCAGAATGAAAGACTGTTGTCAAAGCTTTGGGTGTGAGGTGCCCGCTGCTGAACCAACTTGACAAACCTTCTCGGCGCACGTCCTATCCACATCTAGTAGTATAGGGAACTACGAGCTCCAAGATTTAATTCTAGATTCTAATCCTACTTCTCCTTGGTGCAGTACAAGTCTTGTGAGGCTAGATGCTACTAACTCAGGCTGAGCAGACTTGATGCTGAAAGTGAGAAGCTGCTAGGACCACACGTGTCCCCGCGGCCGCCATCGTCTACTGCGTGGTTGCCTCGATACGTATTTTTTGGGTTTTGTTAGTTTTGTTTGATGACTCTATGCGCCATCCTCGATGGTCATGGGATCTATTCGGCTTTGAATTTGGATGCCAAGGCAGTTAAGGACTAATTCCTGCACCACGATCGCTGGTGGACGACCACAAGCATGAGTTCATCGTGCTCAAGGGACATGAAGACACATCAGGGGCAATCTCAAACTGTGAGAGCGTAGCTCTACAATGTCAGGAGGTCAACCACAGACACTTGTGATCACTCGTGCAGGAAGGACTTGTCTGGAAGTATTGATCACTACTCACGCGCTTTATAGATGGAGCAAGCGCAAGCCAAGCATAGCAAAGCGCCGTGACGCATCTTGAAGCGATTGAACATGACAGGTACGGTAAGGCAGACTATGAGAGCCTGAACCTGCGAAGCGGCACCAGAGGCCTTATGTATTCGATGCATTTTTTGTTTTTTGGCCTACTCCTACTTAATTTATCTTAATTAATCTTAAGTAAGTGAGTAAGCTACTAGGCCAAACTTAACTGGAAAGGTGAAAGGCCAGAGGATGGCTCTTATCATTTGAACTCTTGATATGCTCTTTCGAGACCGCTGAAGTGCTGAATTTCTTGTTGACAAATCGTTTGTCAATCCTTCAGGTATCGACTCGCCAGAGGTGCCTGGAAGACGGCTCTACGATGTTTGCATGGCCATTCACAGCCCGTTTGAGTAATCATTATATGTCACACGATCTTCAAGTTGTTCGGACTTCATGGTGCCAGGTCTTCCAGTACAAGACCTCAAAGAGAGTGAGGCCAGCCATGCTGTAAGATGAGTAAGATATCTCCGAGTTTTTCCTAATCTCTTGGAGCCAGTTGGGTCAATGCATCTATTCACAGCTTCAGTCAGTGGGCTTGATTTCTTACGTGCATTTGCTTTCCCTCTATTGCGTGTGAGTGATGAGTTATCGATTATAATGAGACTCTTTTTGGTTAGCATCACACTCCCCACCAGAATGCGCTTGGTTAGCATTGTCTAGGTTTGAAGAGCGAGACGATGAGTACTACAACGTCCGGGTGCTCCACACACGCTTGGTTGGCACCCAGTCATGTTCGGGTTGGCACAGCTGGAGCCACCGGAAACTGCCCGTGCTTTGAACGTCATGCCTTTTGCAGACTCTTGCCAGGCTTTAGACAACCCTTCTGAAGCAGATAAGGCAAAGATGCAGGTGCCATTGCTTGGACTTTTGCTCTGATGATGTTTCTGAATTGGTTCGATGTTCTCTATGTTCGATGGAATTTGTGCCTCGTTGGTTGGCTGCCTTGCAGATGTGTGTGCTTGGACCCGCCTGGTCTCAATTGCGGTCTGATCAAGGATGAATAGAGTTTTCAGTGACAAGGGTAAAGCACGTGACACTTCACTCACCTGCGCTAGCTTGCCCACAGCAGCCAAGAGTACCAGCATCCTTGAAAGATGTTCAAAGTTTGAGCTTGTATAGAAACTTGCAGGACAATATAGGACAAGGCCTCTCATCCCACTGGCATTCAATGTCCATGAACCAACAAGCAGCAGCCAAAGCGTTTTGTACAGAATGAGAGCCAAAGGCGCGCCAAACAGATCATGCACGACTCTTCAGTGTAATTCATCCTGGACTGATTCCCTCACCGACTAGCCGTCCATAAAGGTGGACATTTGCAGAACACTAACTAGAAAAAAGCAAAGAATAATTCTTCAGATAGGAAAAGGGAATGTAAGGGCTCCTTTAATTATGTTTTTTTCCTGACTGGGTCGGTCTCTGCAGCGTAGTGAGTGCAAGATGTTGATGTGAAGATGGGCTTTGACCGATGCATAGAGGTCTAACATGCAGCCATCGGCAGACCTGTGGGAGAAGGTTCCTGGCTACTCTTCTGACGACGAGGCCAGGAAAGTTCAAGCCATGGAGCAAACTGGAAGGGTAGAGAGAAAGCCATTGAGCTATGAAACAATATGATAAGTGGACACTAAATGAAGTAGGATGATCCAGGACTTCTCAGAGGGTCCTTTGGCCAGGACGGGGCAGGGCTTCCTGAGCCTACACCACAACAGCTTGAGGGCCGACTGACAGAGGCCGGAGAGAAAGCTATTCCAAAAATGACTCAAGTGATTTCTAGGAAAACCAACCAGAGTTCGATCCACAGAACACAAAAGGCGAAAAACAAATGACAAGAGTGACATTGCAAGGCGAACACTTTTTTTTGATATGTCCTTTTTCATTATTTTCCCTTTCCAGCAATCCAATTTGAGCCGGGGAGTATGCCACTGGGGCTTCCCGGATGAAACGGATGGAGATTGATTGGCTGCTAGTCCGGTCCAGAACAAGGGCCAAAGCAAAGCATTCAAACAAATAGTTACTGTAAGTGAGATCTTAAGAGGAAGGAAGAGACAGTTACATACAGTATCATACAGTTAATTATGTACATCCTTTCTTGGATACTTTAACACTTTTTTGCTATATTGTACGGCCAACATGCTTTTAAACATGTTTAAACTGTTGCCTGGCCGGAACAAGAAGCTACTAGGAACAAGTGCATCGCTTCTAGTAACAAGTGCCTTACTAGTAGTAACAAGAAGCTAGTAGTAACAGGTGCATCGCTAGTAGTAACAAGTGCCTTACTAGTAGTAAC